AATCTCTCTTTGACCTCGCGGTTGCACACTTTCTCCTTATGGAGCACAGCAAGCATCTTGTTGTTGCAGAGTCCGTGGAAGATAGCACCATAGGTGAGCCAGCAGGATTGCTTCAAGTATGGGACTTTCTCGGCAACAGGGCTCTCACAGACGCGAAGAACCTCGTTAGCGATGTGTTCGGATGGGATGCGGACCTCGGCAAGGGATTTTAATAGACGAGCTGCTTTTAGATGCTCGATCCTTTCGTCGACGATTTTCCTCATCAGGTAGGTGACAGTCACTTTGGTTCCGGCCATAGCGAGGGCATCGTAGTACATGGAGCGAATCTTGTGGAGCACGTTCTCGTGTCCCACCATGAAGCTCTCGATCTGCATGAGTTCACGTTCGCGGCAGAGGCGAAGCAACTTGACAAGGCGGGCGAAGAGATGGGTGGTCTCAAGATCGACCTTCTCCTCCATATGATGAATCATTTTCTTAATGATCTTCTCGATGTGCACCATCTTGTTCTTCCACTCTGGGATGAGCTGGAGATAAGTTTCCTCACCAGTCATGGCGAACTTCTCTTCAGCAACCTCCCATCCAGAATTGTAGATAAGATTCTCTCTGTGGTGGAAGTTTACGTTAGGGATGCGAGTCTCAACACGGCCTGCATAGATGAGGGTCAGCTTGTTGTTGACAAAGGAGGTGATGAGTTCATGCTTCTCAGAAAGAGGCACCAGCTTATAGCGGGACTCGAGTTCAACATCGCGGACGAGATACTCATCGCGGTTGCCAGTCACTTCGAACTTCATCACGGTGCTGAACAGCTTTTCGTCATAGGTCTTCTTCATGTCATGCATGCGGATGCCATATTGCACCTGAGGAGTAAATTTTTCATTTGCCTAGAATTAAGTCTCCTAGATTATTCTAGAACATACCTCTGGACGTACGGTGCACTTCTGGAAGTTGATGGATTTGGTCCAGAGCATCCTATCGTTCTCAATTGGGGTGCCGGTATACTCAACTTCGCATTCGCCCTCGAGGGTACGCTAAACACAGGAAAATATCAGTGTTGAATGCTTGATCTTTTCTTTTTGTTTCTTTGACTCACCTCAACGGCGACGAAGAAGTTCTTGTTCTCGGTCTCAACCTCACGCTCATGCATCCTGGTCTCATCTTTTTTCAGGAGATTGATCTAAAACCGTTTTTGAGGGAATGT